GCAGAAATTACTTAATACCATTAATATCATATGCAAGTAAAATTGTGCTGAAGATCATTTCAACAGGGACTGACCAGAAATTCAAGCTGATTCCGAAAAGGATGTGGAATTAGGGGTAGATAGCATTGCTGAAGTCACATGGACCTTAGCTAAAAGCAGAGACTATCAGAAAGATGTTCGCCTGTCTTATTGACTATGCAAAGACATTCAACTCTGTGGAGCCTAACAGGTGTAGGTAATTTTGAAAGCAAAGTGGGAAGTCTAGAAACCTTAATTGTGCTCATGTATAACCTGTTCACTGACCGCGAGGCAGTTGTTCAAACAGAACGAAGGAATACTGCATAATTTAAAATTAGGAAGTGTGTGTCAAGGTCGTGTCCTCTCCATCTGTACGCTGAGCAAATAATTTGAGAAACTAAACTATCTAAAGAAGAATGAGACAACAGGATTGGAGGAAAATCCACTAACAATCTGTGATATGCAGATGACCCACCCTCACTTGATGAACGTGAAGAGAATTTGAAGCATTAACCCTGTAACGCCTGAAATTTTAATTTCAGGAAACATTTGTTTGTTTTTCTTCTTTATTTTCAGTTATCAATATATATAAAACAACCAAAATATATTAAAAAATATAAAACTTGCAATGTTTTTCAGATGTAACCAAATTGTCACATTTGTCCATGAATGTATTGTGAATGTTATAATTAAATGCTACGAAAACGTCGTGCTCGGTGTTATAGGGTTAACTAATGGCAATCAAAGACTGCAGCCTTCAGTATGGATTGCAACTCAACACGCACAAAAAGTCCCACAACTGGACATCATGATAAATGGAGACAATATTGAAGTTGCCAAGGATTTCATTGTTCTTGGATCCACGATCAATATCCATGGAGACAGTGGTCAACGTACCAATGGCATCCTGTTTTGGACAAAGATGCTGCAGTGTGAGAAAGCAAAGATGTCTCCTGGAGGGCTCAGGTGCACCGGACCCAAACCACTTTATACTCACGTCATCAACCTGTGAGAGCTAGACAATGAACAAGGTAGATACAAAGAGCGATGGATCCGTTTGATTTCTGGTGTTCATGAAGACTGCTGAATAGACCGCAGACTGCCAGAACAAACAAATCTGTCTTTGGAAAAAAGTACAGCCAGAAACACTCTGAGATAGTTAAGGTTTATTGTGCCAACCTGGCTGATAAACACATGTGGGGCTCATTGAAGGGCAGAGAGATAAATGCCTCAGTGAGCCCCGCCTTTCTAGTTCTCGGGTCTCTTGCCCTCTGATGGTCAGACCAGGGTGCAGCTGCTTTACTTCAGCTACCAAGGCTCACTTCCTGCAAGACATCCCGGAGGAGAAGCCACGTGGACCTACCCTGATGCAGCCCTGGGTGCTGGAGCAGCCATGTGGAGACCCCTGCCAGCGCTGAAATGCTTACACACTCACTGATTCGGCTTTCCTCCTGCAGTTGGCATCATTGCGTGTGTTTTTGTGAGATGGAGGACTTTGTGGATTGGTGTCGGACATATGGGCTAATGTTGGACTTATGGGCTTGGGCAGCACTGGGTTGGGATGCTTTCTTAATGTACCCTTACCCTTTATATAAAACTCACTCTTACACCTGAGAGTTTCTGTGGATTTGTTCCCCTAGTTTACCCAGACTGACACACACTCCTTAGAAGGAGGACGGTAAGGTTTCGCCTCACATACATTGGATGTATTTTCAGGAGGAGCCAGCTCCTAGGGAAAGAGCATCCTGTTTGGTAAAGAAACTGATGAACCAAAAAGGAGGAAGACTCTCAATGGGATGGATTGACACAGTGGCTGCAGAGGCAGTGACTGAAGTCTGGCGGTGGCAGTGATGATGGTGTGGACCTGTTCTGTTGCACACGGGGTAGTACGGGGCAGAAGTGACTCACGACACCTAACAGCAGCAGCAGCACATGCCACGTGGATAACACACGTGGATAACACACGTGGATAACAGACGTGGAAATCGGCTGTCCTGACTCTGCCCGGGCTTCTCATCCAGTCAGTTTCCAACTCATGGTGACCACAAGGACACTGGAATAAAATGCTGACCGGGCCTGCATCGTGCCCTTGATTTTGACCCATAGGGTGGATAAGCCTAGATAACGCAGGGCTTCCTGGGTGGCATAAAGAGTTGCAGGTTCAAAAAAAAAAAAAAGAGTTGCGGGTTCAATGACAAGCCAGAAGGCTAGCTGTATCTCTCTCTCTCACACACACACACACACACAGAAGCACCTCAGAAATTAAACCTGGTCATCTGCTCCTGAATGATTCCAGCTTCCATGACCCTGTGCGGCAGTTCTGCTTTGCACAGGGTCATGATGAATCAGAGTCAAGTTCAATGACAACGAGGAGGCCGGGCTCAAGAGCAGAGAGGTTTAATCAGGAATGCAGCTGGGGGAACACTGGAGAATCTTGCAGGAACGTGAAGGGCCTCCATCAGTATTCCTCGTGGAAAGGGTATTCCTCCAAAAGGACAGTTCTACGGAGAGAAGGAGGGTGAAGAGGGGCGTGTGGCCCACGCAGTGGTACCGTCGGACGGGTGCTCTGCTCCAGGGCAGCTTGTGGTCTTCATGTTTTCTGCCTTCCCCCACCCCAAGATTCTGAGAATACAGACAGGGGCCTCCACTTCCATAGGTGCCCAACTCATCTGAGGACAGGATGGGAAGAAGGGCAGGCAAGCAGCAGCCAGGGGGCCAGAGAAACTGACACCTTGGAGGAAAGGCCTGGTGATCTAGTCCCTCCCCAAAATCAACCAGTGGAAACCCTACAGGGCAAAGTTCTGCTCTGACGTGCAGGGCTTCCATGAGTCAGAGTAGACCCCACAGCGACTGGTCTGATGGCCAGAAGCAAGCGCTGCACTATGTGCCTTCCACGTACTGCGTCTATTGATCCCCAGCACTGCAGCGGGGAGAGCAGCAGTAGAACTGGCCATTTGGAGTTGTATGGGTATTAAATGAGATAATGATGCATGCAAATGCTTAGAATGTCTGGTACATTCAAAGCTCTCTCTCTCTC